ACACTCAAAAAGTTATATATATATATATCATTGTAGAGTAAAATATGCCTGCAGCGAATAACTTTTCACACAGCTAATTAATTATTGCTTACCACATATCAAAGCGAAACATTCTTTCCTCTACGATTTAAATTTGCTCTTGCTTTCATAATTACAAATTTTAAGTCACAAAAAATGGACACTAAAAATTAAGAAGTTAGGGGACCAAATTTCGAAAAATAAGAGTTTTTTATTTTTATTTCTCAGGACTTATTTGACCGATTTTGCTTAAATTTTTTATTTTGACATTTAGAATTGCAAATGATGAAAAAATTGCGTACCTTACATTTTTTTAGTTTCTCGACTTCCCTTAATAAAGTAATTATAAATGTTTGCTAAAAGTTTTATTTTGCATGAAATTATCTTTAGAAAAACGAATAGGAATTGATTGATCTGATTGGAATTGAATGCAAAACTTTTTCAATTCGCTTAAATAAAATTAGGATACATTGAAATACGCAAAAACTGAAGTTAACATTAAAGGGTCCTAACTTTCAAGCGCGCTCCTGGCATAACTATTAAAACAATATTTCTAGACTGAAACTACTATATTTTGGAGGTCAGAAATCCGAATTCGTCGAAAAAAGGTATGTTTAATCGATGTACGTTTTTATGTCTAATTTCCTAACTTAAACTATCTTCTGAACTAATTAATTAGTATATTTGATGTCACCCTCTTGTACCATTAAGAATGAGTCCTAGAACATGAAGATCTGAACTTAAGATTAAAATTTATTCCGGTGGATCCATTTATTTTTTTGCGCACTGTACATTCATTTGAAGTATACGTCAATATTGCTGATAATAGCAAAATATTTGCTCATTTTTATGTAGAAAGGTAATTTAGCTGATGGTTATTCATATATATATGTGTGCTTTGATAATTTTAAGGATTATGATTGAAAGAGGAAAATAAGGTGAAATGATGTTCACTTTCAATATTAATATCAGATATAAATAAATAAAAACGTCTTTCATTTTGTCCTCTTTTGTCAATTTCACAGTAATTGCATAGTAATAGCTTCGAAATAATAGCTCAATGATTATGATGATAATATCTCAATCTCGTCATACCTCAAGAACGTTTTGATTGAATCGAAAATATTTTCATATAATTGCAAAAATTCGTTTTTCCAAATAAGGTAATGCCATGCAAAAAATACAGTTTTAAATAGTTATAAAATGCATAATATTTTTTATATTTTTATTTATAATATGCGTTAGAAAAATTCTGAATCCCGATTTTTGAAATCCCCGTGTAGTAAATGGCGACTGATGCAAGTCGAGTCGCGAAGTCCTTCCCATAACAAATCTGGGGGTACTTATTCTGGAGTTTCCTTGTCTTCTGGAATGGTTCAGAATTACAAGGAATTGAGCATTAGTAGTCGTAAACCCGAAAATTGGATCGGTTGTTCAACGACAGATAAAATAAAATAGCAAGATATACAAATTTTTATATAATTTTATGGAGGGTAATTTTAAATTGTAAAATACAAAATTTGAATGAAATCGTTTGAATAATTCGAGATAAATAAAATTTTAAGCAAACTGACTCAGAAACTAATTGATCGATTGCTCTGAAAGTTTGTATTTTGAAATTAAAGGGGTGTAAAAATATGTAGAACATACAATTCAATATATTTTACTATTGTTTAATAAACTAATAAAAAATAACAAATAATTATTTAAAATTATTTTTGCTTAAAAATTTGTATATAAAATGTTTTTTTGTAATTTTATGCAAACATTTTTCAATACACTCAAAAAGTTTTCGAGATAATGGGCTATAATCGAAGAGTGAAGTTAAAATTAAAGGACCCAAACTTTCCAACTCTTTCTTTGCCATAACTTCAGACCATATCTTCCAGATTGCGGCTGTTACTGCATTTTGAATATTAAAAACCTAAAACTATAGATAAAGTTGCATGTTTATTCAGAACAGAATGCACTTTTCTGTTCATTTTCGTAACTTAAAATATGGTATTGACTCTTTGTACGTAAAAATATGATTAAATCAAAAGTTAATCAAGGTGTTCCCTTTTTCCATTTCATACACTGTACATAAAATAAGTCAATGAGAATCTGTTGATTAATATATATTTTAAGGTATTGAATACGAACAGTTTGTTTTTCTGAATCAATCAACAATCTTTTTACTACTGAGAAAATCATAAAAAAGAATAAAAAAATTAAAAATCTTTTGTTACTGTTTGTTTTGCCTTTTTCCGACTGAATATTTATTGCGTTGATTAAAATATAAACCTTGAATCCGAATAAGTAAAAGATTTTCATTTAAAACTATTAATAAAAAAAGATTAAAAAATTAGAAAATTTTTATTTTATTCTTACTTTCATTTTGCTTGAAAATTTCAAAAAGCAATTATGTGATCCCCAAACACATTACATAAAAAAGAATTTGTAAAGAGGAGGACCTGCGTCTCTTTCTGTCCCCCAGGCTTTTGTCAGATATTTCCTCAGTGAAGAGGCGTGATAGTTTGAAAGATAAACTTCCAAGAAAATGACGATGTGTCTGTGGGAAAGGATTTCTAAGGGACTTCGAAAAGTCGTCAATTTCAACCATGTCTAATCGCATCTGGTCTCTAGTTTAACAACGCATGGGCAGTGCAGTGAAACTACAATTACATAAAATTTACAATATATATTTTACTATTTTTTGCTACTAATTCTTAAAAATAATTAAATAAAAAATCAACTACAAAAATTTTTATTAGGCACTTGTAAATGAATTTTTGACATTATTTAGAAAAAAATGTGACCAGACTATTTTCTGGACAAGACTCTAAATTTTTCCCAATGGGGGGGGGGCTGGCCATGCCTGACAAAGGTGCAATTGCCCCCTCCCTGACCCCCTACTGGCGCCGCCCTTGCCCAGACCGTCGCCAATAACCCATTGTGCAGCTCAAGTGCGACGTAAATTAACAACAAGAACAGCAATCCCGATAGTAAACAGAGCATCAAAAAAAGAAATAGTCACGTTATGCTGTGACGTCAAAGAGGAGCCCAAAACTTCCGGTAGGGTTTGTTTGTTTTTTTTTAGAATAAATGGTTATTACTTTCAATAATAACAAAGAATATAATTAATTAAAGGTAACAAAAATGTTTACAAATATATATATATTTAATTGTTGTTTTGTCTTTTTATTTATATGAATTAAAAAATATTTACTATCTTAAATTTGTATCACATTAAATCATTTGTACANTATATACATAGAATAACAATATATACAATTACATAGAATTCACAATATATATTTTACTATTTTTAGTTACTAATTCTTAAAAATAATTAAATAAAAAATCAACTACAAAAATTTTTATTAGGCATTTGTAAATGAATTTTTGACATTATTTAGAAAAAAATGTGACCAGACTATTTTCCGGACAAGACTCTAAATTTTTCCCAATGGGAGGGCTGGACATGCCTGACAGGGTTGCAATTGCCCCCCCCCCCGACCACCTTCTGGCGCCGCCCTTGCCGAGACCGTCGCCAATAACCCATTGTGCAGCTCAAGTGCGACGTACTTTAAAAAAAAAAAAATTAGCAACAGCAATCCCGATAGTAAACAGAGCATCAAAAAAGAAATAGTCATGTTATGCTGTGACGTCACGGAGGAGCCCAAGACTTCCGGTAGGATTTGTTTGTTTGTTTTTTAGAATAAATGGTTATTACTTTCAATAATAACAAAGAATATAATTAATATTAATATAATTAATTTCAGGTAACAAAAATGTTTACAAATATATATATATTTAATTGAATATGTAAAAAAATTTTAATTCCAATTTTATAAAATTGAATTAGCAGTGATTTATTTATTTTTTTTTTAAGCTGTTGAATATGGATCTAAATTTAAAATTCTGTAATCCGTGTTTTGTCTATTTATTTATATGAATTAAAAAATATTTACTATCTTAAATTTGTATCACATTAAATCATTTGTACAAACTTTTAAACTTTTTTTTCTTCTTTTCAGTACAAATCCTCTTCATTTGGCAGATGCTATAATGGAAGGAGACCAATCATCTCAGTCAAGTAAATATCTTTTATTTAATTTTACTCTTTTTAATTGGGTACAAACCTTTTGCCTTATTGTTTTATTATTCCACATGATATGGATCAATATTTGAATCATGTGATTTGGATCAATATTTGAATCAATTGATTTGGATCAATATTTAGATCAAGTGATTTAAATCATGTGGTTCGGATCATTGATGCTAAGAAAGTGATTTATATAAGACAAGGGATTTCAGATCAGTGATACAAATCATGCCATCATTGATTCTCGTGAAGAGATTCGGATCACTATTCGTATCAAGGGATCACTGATCTGAATCATGCAATTCAGATCAATGATTCAACTCAATTAATTCAGAGCAGTGATTCGAATCAAGTGATTAAGATCTGATATCCGCTCAAGTAATTTGAATCACTAATTCGAATAACATGACTTAACAACTTAATTGCGAATCATGTGATTCGAATCAAATACCTTAAATCACTATTCAGATGCACAAAAGATATGCTATTTCTTTTTCGTATTTTTCTTTAAGTTATGGAATTATTTGATTAGAAAATCTTAAGTCCTTAATAATGAATGAGTAAGAATCTCATAAGTTTTACAATAAACTTTTTACCATATGTGACATAGCATCACTTTAAAACAAAATTTGAAATAAAAAAAGTTATTACAGTTTAAATCTATTCCGATAAAATCATCTGATTTGATTAATCCTTACTCGAATTGCAATTTATTTGAATCACTTAATCAATTCAGTGATTCGAATCGAATCAGTACCCAACTCTAATGGGTACCATGCCTCCCTGAAATGCAATAAGGAAAAAGAAAAAAACATGTTAGTTAGCTCCCTTCTTACTAGAAAATTTACTGAAATAACAGGGGTACTAGGCAATGAAATTTCTTATTACTTTGTGTTGTCACACACATAAAAATGCCGGCAATATGAATATTTGATTAATGATAAAAAAATATTTAAATAAAATTTTGTAGCTATATTTTGTTCATTTCAGTAAAAATATTTATATTGTTATTGTATAAAAGTAAACAATTTTGTAAGCTCTTTTACATGTTTTTATTTCAGTATTTCTACTCTGCTCATTATTTTTATTGCATACATTGTGCATTTATTTGTATTTGTGCTCTCGCTTAAACTTTAAAATTGCCTGCAAATTTCCACTCATTTTTTTTGCGGGAGTAACCCTAATATACAATGTTCAAATAGAAACATATTTTTTTCTTTATGATCTCATCATAATACCATCTTAAAATTTACAAACAATTAAATAGTTTACAAACAATTAAATATAAAATATTGTTTTAGAAAAATTTTAATTTAATTTTTTTTATACATAATTTTTTATAACAGTTTAGCTATTTTATACATTTTATAACATGCAATTAAAAACTGAACATAATATTCAAAATTGAGTTTTCGCCGTTAATTATTCTCCAGTTAAAGTTTCAAATATTGAAAGAAATTTTAATTTTCAAAATTTCAAAAATGCATAATTCGTTAACAAATGGTTTAAAATATCTGAAACTTCTAAACTAAATACAAAAACCTGGCAGTTCAACCATCCTTTAATTTTGTGTTGAATTACCTATATTCTATTATCATAATTTTTATTTATTTTTTTTAATTTTTATTATTACTTAATTACTTCTATTTTTTTAAGTTCTGTTATTACATTTTGAGTTTTAGGTAAAAAAAATTAAATAACTCAATCGTTGACGATTAAACTTTATAAATTTGACTGAGTCCTGTGCAATAAGTTTTTATCATTTATAGTTATTTTCTACATAATATATTTATCAACACATGATTTTGTTTAAATTTATTTAATAAAAATTTTCTTTTTAATTGTTATATTTCACTAGTTTATTACAATACAATATACTTATCTATACATGATTTATACACATTTTTTTATTTAATTTTTTTTTTTTTTTTTTTTTTGTTTCGTTGAGTTTGTAACAACACATTTGCCTGCCTNTGAAATTTATTTTATTATGAACATTTATTATTAAAGGAGTTTTAACAAGATTTACAAAAAGAACAAGATTTATAAAACAAACAGGAACAAGATTTATAAAAGTTTGAATTTTTCAAATCTTAGAAAAATTTTGACGAAAAAAAACTTACCCTTGACTTAAATGAATGGGCTTGCTTTAGGGGATATGTAACATAAGATATTTTTTTTTTATCTTAAATAAATGTTACTTCAAAAATAAATGAAAACTAATCCTTATTAGGTAAATCTTATGAAATTTGTATAACCTTCATAAAATGAATATAAATTTTTATCCTTAATACTTATTATAATCACTTCCCTTTTAATGTATTTATCAAGACATTATATTTTTTTAAAGTTTATTTTATAAAAATCTGTTTTTGTGTCAACATATTAAAAATACATCATTTTCAGATTTCCAAAGAACAGAGTTTACAACATCACCAGTCAAAGAAACACAAGCTAAAGCTGTTAGAGAATATGAAGAAGTAAATACTTTTTTTCTTTTTCCTATTTTTGCTAAGGAAATTTCATTTTTAATTATTTTCATTTTTCTTTTAGACAATTAATCAATTAAGAAAGGAAAATAGTGATCTTAAAAAAAGATTATATTTGTGTGAAGAGAAATGCGATGATATTCAAATTGTAAGTTAATTTTATTATTCTTTTCTATTAGTGTAATTATCTTGATTTACTAAGAATATTAAATTTTTTTTTCATCCTATTATTTATATTTTGCTTTCAAACTTCATAATTATTTTTAGTAGCTCCCAACTTTTGTTTTCCTTAAGTGTTTTTTTTTCTTTTCTTTTCTTGTGGCTAACACAAGTCCTATTATCCTAAAATATCATCATTTTGTTTTAAAAATCCAGTAAAAGCAGGCAGTTCGAAAACATGCTCAATATCTGCTGCATGCGAATAGGCTGTCGCTGATGAATGCTTAGCAGATCTTATAGTTATATAAGTCGGTCCCGAGTATGTCACTGCACTTTTTGTTTGTATTTGATTATTTTCAATTTTGATAAGAGCGTACACGGAAGGAGTGATCTTGTGAGATGGAGCTACTACCCAGTCGTGGTCCGGTAATTTAACACGATATTCTACTTGCATTAGTAATGGTGATTGCTTGTTTGCAGCAGTTATCCCAATCGGCACTCGGGCTTTATCATCTTAGCTTATGAAAAAGACCTCATTTGGACCCAAAATTGATGCCAACAGTTCCAAATTTTGTATAGTTGCAGCTGCAAACTTGGAATTCATATAAGTTTTGTGAGTTTCATTTTATGCTTTCATCGGTTTCACTGGAACTGTTTGAATATGTCGCTTTCCTTCTCTTGAATTTTATTGTCGTGGTAATAAATGTAAATAAACGCCAGATCTACTTATATTATAACCATATTGAGCTTTCAAAATGGTGTGTATGCTTATAATGTACATACTTTGTATAATACCTCCCCCTTCCCCATCGTACAAAATAGCAAATCCCCTCCCCCCTTTGAGATGTACATACTTTTTGAACGGCCCCTAAGAACAATTTTGTTTGATTTTTTCTTATTAACTTTTCTTTTTATCAGCATTTTTTAATAAGCATTTCTAATGGACGCTATTCTTTTATGATAAGTTTCTTTTCGATAAATACGCCAATGTGAACAATTTAAATAGAGTTTTTTAATGTTTAAATTTTATGTATAAATGTTAAGAATGATTTTTGTTTTGGTTTCTATCTGGTTTTTTCTTTTTTAAAAAGATGTGTTTCTATTATGACGAGGCAATTAAGAGGGTTTCTATTATTTTACTTTTATCTTTCTTTCTTTTTTTTTTCTTTTTTTTTTTTGAAAATATAATAATTTGAAAACTGAGATGTTTAGCTTTAAAATTTTCTTTCAAAGATTAAAGTCAGTTTTTATTTTTTCCATTTTGGTTTTTTATATAATTTTTTTATAGGAGTTTTCATTATAGCACTTCATTTTTATAAGCGTTTCTGATTACCTTTTTTCTTTTTTTAAAACGATATTCTACTTGCATCAGTAATGGTGATTGCTTGTTTGCAGCAGTTATCCCAATCGGCACTTTGGCTTTATCATCTTAGCTTATGAAAAAATAGATAATTTATTTCTAGAAAAAATTATTTTTTGCATTAAAACTTTATTTTAAGAATTAATAGGATATTTTTTTCTATTTTCATTTTTTTCAACTTTACCATTTTAGTTTTTTTATCGCTGTTTCTCAGTTTTTTTTATTTATCTTATATTTCTAATCATGCCAATACCTAATTATCTTTATTGTCTGAAATATTTATATTGTAGTTTTTTTTATCTTATACCAATATCTATGTAAGTTTTGATTATTTTTTAATAATGACTCAATTTATATGTAAAGCTATTTAATATATATATATTACCNTATTGCTTCCAAAAATTTGGTAGTGTTATAACTTCATGAATCAAATATTTTTAATCTTGAAAATGTTTCTCTTTATATTTTTTGTGTGACTCCGGAATGAGCACGGATAATCCGCAAACCGTATAATCCGCGCACGGATAATCGAGAGTGTACTGTATATATATATATACATATATAAGTTCAAAATTAAGATAAAACAAAGAAAAACTATAGACATATGAAAAAAAGGGGGGAAATAATAAGTAAAAAAATAACAAACATTCCTGAATGTGAGGTTTAATAAGTCAATTATGTATTGTCTGGGCTCCCACTGGTGAGGGAGAATAGGGAAAACCTGGAATATTTAAATAATTTTATTTTAACTCCAAAAATCAGGAAAAAACTATTTTTTTTAAAAATTTAAACCTGAAAATTTCCTATGTAATACCTATAAAATGACCAGTCTTAAAGCTATCAGTAACCGTAATCAGTTATTGAGATTCGAGTAATTCTAACACCTATTACAATTATTTGTTATAAAAATACATTCTAACATCTATTAATTTTTTGTAAGTAAGATCGAAATTTTCTTATTTTGTGTAATTAAAAATTTTATTCTACTTCATATTTAGTTTTTTAATTGAATACTTCTTTTCTAATTATTTTACTTCATTTTCAGAAAGCAAACCAAGAGTCAAAGGAATTGCAGGAAAAAATCCTAGCTTTGAACAAGAAAATTAAGCACAGAGATGAAGCAATCAAAAGTTGTGCGCGAAAGTACCACGAAGAAACCGATTACATCCCAAAGCAAATGAGGCCAATTATTAAATCTACAATTCAAGCTGCTGTAGATAATAATGAAAAAGAACTCGTTTCATCTCTCGAAAAATTAAAAAGATCTCTTAGTGAGGTAATTATTTTTTAAATTCTGGTAATCAAACCATATGACTTAATCTTCTATCCTGTTATGAAGTAAATCAGAAGGTAACTGTCTTGAAATGTGATATTTTATAAAAATAATGAGCTAAATAAACTATGAAACAGTTTTTTTTTTTCATTTGGAATATATTTTAAAATCAAAATTTTGTTATTTATTTATTAATAAAAAGTTTTGCAATTTTGTTGTAGAAAAGGAATATTTCAAGTATATTTTGTAGTTTAATAATTCTATTTTTTTCCTTATTTTAAATAAATCTGTTAAAAGAATAAATAGAAATAAGAATGGTTATGAAAACTTTCTAATGTTTTGATAAGTGTATTATTATTATTATAGATGAATCTATTAAAGTGTACTTTGTAGTTTAAAAACATTTTTTATGTCCCATATGTTTTTATCAGAAAAAAAATAGAGAGGTATGTTGCTTCGATAGTAGATTTAATGTTATCCAGGGCTGATTGTGCTCCGGAAAAAATCCAGATTTCCGGAATTTTCGTTAACAGTGATCCGGAAGTTTCCGGAGGTCAAAGGTCCAGATGTTTCAAAAAATCATTGATCACAGAAGTTTCTGGAAATCAAATTTTCGAAGGTGGAACTTGAAAACCCAGTTTATTTTATTTGTTTGTAAGGGAGAGCCAGAGAGATACTTTATAAGCTTATATTCATGATTAATATTAATTTTTTATCAGTAAATAGTTGTTATAATCATAAACTCAGGAAAGAAAGACATATTTGTACATTTTAATTACTTCTCCAGGTCATCATAGTTATGTATTAATGATAAACTAAGAAATATTAATAAAAGGGAAGAAAAAAACTTGTTTAAATTTTTTTCAATTTAAACTTCTTTTCTTTTTCTTTTTTTTGAACTCAAGAAATTTTTCGGAATTTTGACTTGGGCTCACAATCACCTCTGGTTATCTAAAAATAACTTAAATGATCATATCTTTTTAAAATTGTGATATGTTAACATGTATATTGCAGCCAATATTCAAACAATGCAGCCAATATAATTCTAAACCATTTGTTACAAATATTGCAGATAATGGGTGTGCTTATACCATCAAATCTTCAAAGCACTTATGTCAGAGATTCCCCCGCACAGGTTAATATTTTTCTAACTTTTTTGTTGTTGTTTACTTTGCCATTTTTAATGATAATTAGTGCTTGTTTTTCTTTGATCCATATACCTATATTTGTATTTCTGATATAATGATTCGTATCTATATAATTATTTTGTCTCTGTATTTACTTTTGTTTTCTTTATGTGTCATTGTTCATTAAATTATGACACTTTTTTTTAAATAAAATCTTTATCTGTTTATCTTTTTTTTACTATAAGCTTCCTTAAAAAAATTCTTTCAAATCTTATTGTTTTTACTTATCTATCAAAAGCGATAACTTGAGTGTCATTTATTACATGATATTTTATATTAGTATTTTATTTTTCAGCAGAATAGTTTAAGATTATATTTTTTCAGCTAAAAACTTATTACAGAATGATCTTTTTTGAGTGTTTTATTCTTTGAAGGTAATTTGGAAAGTAATCTCAATTGCACTTTGAAATTAGTGTACATCAAGCTATACTAGAGAAAACTTATGTAACCATTTGTTTAGTTAATTGGATCCGTCAGTCCGTAATGTATGATAACATCAATCATGTTACATGTTTGATAAAATACTTGGAAGTGACTAATTGAGCTCTGGTTTGGTCACCTTCTTGCACTCTCATGTGCAACTTCTGCATTTTACAAGATATTCTCAATTTCAGGCATCATTTTCTACCCTCTGAAGTTGAACCCAAAAATCTATATATATTTTTATGGAAGCTAATATAATCAAGAAAGGTGTTCTTTGTCAGNAAGTAACAAAAAAAATATTATCCCGATGTTGTTTGTGCTGTTGTTGTTGTCGTGTCTATGTTAGTGCAAAGATTAGAGTCCTCCAAAAGTCTTGATAACAAGGTTTGCAAGTTCTGGAGCCCGATGGCCATGGAGAATTTCAATAGAAAGTGCTCCAAGTTGAAGGAGGGAGCCGATAATGGCCTGGCAGTCAAAAGCATGGTCTGGAGTTAGTTGCAAATGAGGACAGTACTTGCACATGGGATAGAATTTTATATGGGGGCATGAGATCTTCATGCCCTTGAAATGTCCAGTACGTAGCCTAGCTATTGTAGAGGAGAGGTTTCTTGGGCAGTTTAGATCGGGGATTGTTGCCTAGCTAAAATGCTGGTTGTATATCCTTCGTCTGGCGACAGCATTCGCATCTGCTCAGGTAACAGCTCGAGGTTGATCTTCGTCGCGTGCATCCTTTGCAAGGGCATCTGCGCATTTGTTTCCCTCGATTCCAACATGAGCCGGGATCCACTGGAGAGTGCAACGGATATTTAATAAATGAAGAAGGGTATTAATTTCATGCGTTATTGATGTATTACCATTATGTATTGCTTCGAGTGCTGATTTTGAGTCTGAGAAAATCACGATTTCTTTTATTGAGTCTTTTAGAGACTGGGAGTGACAATAGGCAAGAGCCTCTTTAATAGCGATTAATTCGCTGGTGAAGTTCAAAGCAATTTGGCCAGTGGATATTTTGCACAATTGTGCTTTTTTCACTTAATTAACTTATCATACATAATAATATTTTGATAAGTTAAGAATGATGGTCATAGAAATGTTGATTATTTTATAAAAAGAACATTAAAGAAAAATTATTACAATAATCTCCTTTGACCTTCAACTTCATAAATTTGTCCTGTTTTTATCAGAAAAAAATAGAGAGGTATGTTGCTTCGATAGTAGATTTAATGTTATCTAAAAATAACTTAAATGATCTTATTTTTTTAAAATTGTGATATGTTAACATGTATATTGCAGCCAATATTCAAACAATGCAGCCAATATAATTCTAAACCATTTGTTACAAATATTGCAGATAATGGGTGTGCTTATACCATCAAATCTTCAAAGCACTTATGTAGGAGATTCCCCCACACAGGTTAATATTTTTCTAACTTTTTTTTTTGTTGTTGTTTACTTTGCCATTTTTGATGATAATTAGTGCTTGTTTTTCTTTGATCATATACCTATATTTGTATTTCTGATGTAATGATTCGTATTTATATAATTATTTTGTCTCTGTATTTACTTTTGTTTTCTTTATGTGTTCATTAAATTATGACACTTTTTTTTAAATAAAATCTTTATCTGTTTATCTTCTTTTTACTATAAGCTTCCTTAAAAAATTCTTTCAAATCTTATTGTTTTTACTTATCTATCAAAAGAGATAACTTGAGTGTCATTTATTACATGATATTTTATATTAGTATTTTATTTTTCAGCAGAATAGTTAAAGATTATATTTTTTTCAGCTAAAAACTTATTACAGAATAATCTTTTTTGAGTGTTTTATTCTTTGAAGGTAATTTGGAATGTAATCTCAATTGCACTTTGAAATTAGTGTACATCAAGCTATACTAGAGAAAACTTATGTAACCATTTGTTTAGTTAATTGGATCCGTCAGTCCGTAATGTATGATAACATCAATCATGTTACATGTTTGATAAAATACTTGGAAGTGACTAATTGAGCTCTGGTTTGGTCACCTTCTTGCACTCTCATGTGCAACTTCTGCATTTTACAAGATATTCTCAATTTCAGGCATCATTTTCTACCCTCTGAAGTTGAACCCAAAAATCTATATATATTTTTATGGAAGCTAATATAATCAAGAAATGAGTTCTTTGTCAGAAAATAGTTATTTTAGCATGATCACATCTTTGAAAATTATTTTGCATTTTGATAATGTATATAGTGCTATAAATATTTTTTGAGTGCTTAAAAAGTACTTTAAAGATGCTTATTTTTTGTTGAGAGATTTGGCTACACACCCTGGATTTTGAATCTGAAAGACTTTCTATTAATTGTAGGAAGTATTTTAGGCTTTTTATTATATTCTTATTTTACTGGATTTATTACCGAAAATTTCAAAATTTTTGAGTTATTTCATTTAAAAAAAAATATTAGGCAAGTTTTTTTTTCTTTCTTCCAAGTATGAATTGCGAGCCATTCTCATGTTTAATATTTTGAAAAGGTTATAAGAAGTCTTGTGATTTAAATTTCTCATTAAAAAAAATTTCTTTATCTCTCTATTATTTGATTGAAAAATATTTGGAATTAACAAATACAATTCAATAATTTCAAATTATTAAATATGACATAGGGATTGCATATTATAATTTATTTTTTTGCAAAAAGCACCTATACTAACTATATTTTTATTTTAAAATTATCTAAATTATTTTTTAACCACTTGATTAGAAAAGTATTGATCATATATGGAGATTTTAAGAGTAATTTAAAAGGAAATCATTCATTAATTTATATTTGTTGTAAGAATTTATTTAGACTTTCTTTATTTACTTTGTTTGCACATCTTTATCACTTCAATGATGTTAATTTTATTGTTATTTTTGTACAGTATACATATCTAAATAATATTTATTTAAATTTAAAAAATACTCAGGACATTTTTTTATTAATTTAACATGTTCTTAAATTAGCATTATTTCTTTTTACTTGATTTACTGAAGTAATTTTTAAAAAGTAGAATGAATAACTGTATTAAATGTTTTTAAAATTTGAGTGAAATGTTTTTATTAAAAAATTTTTTGGCACTTTATTAATCTTATGTATATATGTTTTAAATAATAAGAAGAAAAAATTTAATTTGTGCATGATTTTTAGTGCCTTGAAATATTTTTGAGTGCTTAAAAAGTGGTTATTTTTCATTGAAAAATTTGTCTACATATCCTGTTTAAGAGTGTCAATTAGTATATTTTTCCTAATATTGTAAGAATAATTGCTACAAGAAATTTGCAAATATTTGTCTTTAGTGAAAATATCACGAAATAAGAAGGTCACAGCACAGGGTCGAAAAAAAAAGGTTTTTTTTTTTTTTTTAAGATGGCTGTTTCTTAAATAAAACTGAAATAATCCTAACACGTATGTATATATATTAAAAAATTATTTTTACCTAATCTTTTTGTAAAACTTTTAAAGATAGGATGGCATAATTTTAGTGATTTTTTGCATACGTATAGCACTGCCTTATGCTCAACAATTTCTACTTTGTAGGATGCTGGTGTCAACTCTGTGGTTCAATCTGGTGAATATTCTTTAATAGAAGGAGATTTAAGACATTCAGAAATGATTTCAAATGTAAGAAATGGTTATAGCAATGGATTAATCGCTGCTAATGAAAAGTATAATTGTAGAAGAAGATTAACTTATGCTAAATCTTAAGAGTTTATCTTTGAAATTGCTTTCCAGTCATTTTAGTTTTGAATTTGTACTTATAAAACTATGCCTTTAAATTAATATCTAAAAATGTTAATACTTTTTGACTATTTAAACTAAATTAATTGCAAAATTTTGGAATAGTTGTGGAAAAGGAATATGTTTTGAGACATTATTTCTTCATTTTATTCAGATGCTAATGACTTTTAATTTTATGATAGTGACTGCTTTGATTGATTGTGAAGGCTCTCTGAGGGAAAAGCAATCACTATTCATAGTGCTATAGTCAATCATCTTCATAGCTTTTGAAAATATTTAGCACTGATATAGACAAAGCAGCAACTGGGATCTATATTGAAATTAATTAATATATATCAATATTGAGCCTTGGTGGCTCAATGGATTGAGCCTTCCAATGAGGTGAACCAAGTTCAAATCCCAGCGGTAGCTGATCGATACAAATTCTGCACCCGGCTTGCACCAACCACAGTGCTGTCATAAAGTATCCTCAGTGGTAGACGGTTCATGGGTTAGAGTCCCCTTACCGTCAGGCTAACCTTGGGAGGTTTTCGTGGTTTTCCTTTCCTTCTAACGCAAATGCAGTTCTAAGGCAAATTTCTCCCATTACTTGATCCAGGAGTTCCTTTGTCTTCTAGATTGGTTTCAAAATTAAACGTCTACAGAGTTGAACATTAGTGGTCTTAAGCCCTGAATTGGATTGGCTGTTCCACGACGGTTATAAAATAAAATAAAAATGTATCAATACTGTCTAAAACGAATAAAAAGTTTGAGTGTGCATAAAAACTCAACTTATTGTTCCATTTTATTAAAAAAGAAAAGGGTTAAGTAGAAGAGAATCTATAAATCGAAACTGAGTGAATGATAATGGTAATTGTCTTTATTCTCAATAAAATGTTCTCTTTTAAAATGTCAATTTTTTACTGATTAAAGCTTTATAAATCAAGGCTGTAATAATAATTTTCTTCTACACTGGTATTTTTGGAAGTTTGAAACTAAATTATAGCTCCTGCTATTCTAATTTTCTTTTTAAGGATAGGTTTAATTTATTTACAGGAATTCTAATATAAATAATTTAAAGCTGAGCAAGAAAAAAAAGTTTTTAGAAATATTCTGCTACTCATTTTCAGTGTCAATATATTGAAATGAAACTTTTCATACATAATCTTTTCATTCATTTCTTCTGAAATACTCTTGAGATTTAAGCTTTTTTTTATTTTATGAAAATTATTAAGACAACTATTTTATATGATATTGTATTTTTAAAATATTTTTTAAGCAAATGATTGTATATGTGTGACATTGTGTCACTTAATTTGATTGTTTCTAACAAAATTGTGACCTAAAAATTAGGCCAACCCCTGAGCCCTCTCCTCTGACGCCTTTCTGTCTGTCGTCCTTCACGGTTTTGACCTTCGGCAGCCTTTGATGTAGGCACATGGGAGATGGTCCGATATGGTCGCAGTTAGTTCATAATTGTGATTTTATTTAAGCTGTTCATCAGTTCACTTTGGTTCTCTCTTAGCCACGACTCTGCTGCGTTTTAGGAAGTTTAACTTCAATTTTCAACCTAATGATATAAATGCCGCCCATTTTTTTTGGAACCGGGCATTCGAAAAGATATTGTCCAGACGCACTATGATCCTTTAACAGGGATTTTTCTTTTTTCTACCCCCAGTGGGTGCTTTTGCTGTGATGGCGTTTTCCTTCGCCATGGTTTTGTTTGGTGGAGTTTCTTCCTTTGGTTTTTGAGAGGGGAACTTTCATGTTTTCAAAAAGATGAATAAGATTTGTGGATCCCGTGTGGCCTTATGTTTTTGCTTTTCCTTTCACTGATAAGATGTCCACCAGTTCAGCCTAGCCTTATGTCGTAATTGTGATCTCTCTGTGTCCCTGCTTCCCATAGATGTTGTGATTCCCCTGTTGTGTGTTTTTAGAACATTCATCAGCTAAAAAAAATAAAAGGATATGTTTATTTCGTAACGACAAGAACTCATTTCTTCTGACTCAAAAATTGGTCATTTTAAATATTTTTTCAGCTTGAAGTAAATCTCCGCTTGATTCAGCAACAGGTATGTTGGACTTAATCACCATGATGCATTGATTTATTTGTTGTTTTTTTAAATGTTTTATTTTTAAGGGTTATTGTAGCAAACTTTTTAAGTACTTTTCCACTATAGTAATAGTCACGCGCCATGATTAATTGGTTACCTTTATCTTTGTTTTCTTGTTTTGCACAACCTCTTAACGATAATATTAATTAATTAAATCTAAATTTTTCCCAACCTTAATTGGTACACTTGGTGCCGTTAATACTAATTATTAATTGGGTTGGTGTATTTTAATGTTTTTAATTATATTATGGTTGACCAGAGAATCTTAATTTTTGCTCTTTAAAGTGTGTTATATGATTTAAATAATGTACTTAGGTAATTTAAAGTACAAATAAATTTTAATAATTTTTTTTAATTTTGGATTCAGCAAGTAACAATTTATTTCAATAGTTTTCAATTGAATAATCAAGTAAACAATAATGAAGTAACGCACAAAAAGTTTAATTTTAGAAATTAATTCTATATATAAATATAATTAGTATTAATATTCTTGTGTAAAATTACTAAATTGCTTGCAAAACATACGAAGTATATAGTCAGTATAGAAGTCAGCTATATTTTGCTTTGTGCTTATATCTGTGGGGATGGAGGTCATTTTCCTGGCGATTTCTATTTTAGTTGTGTTTATCATCAATATCGAAAAAGCAAAAAAGAAATTGCATAGCATTTTATGGGGAAAACTACTGAAATACCTAGACCGATCGACAGGTGCCATGGTGCCTGCAGGCCTAGGGTTGGGGACCCATGCTATAAGTTATTCATTTAAAATTTATATAATGAGAAATTATTGAATAGTAGGTTTAAATTAAAATGTAAATTTTCTGAACTATAATAAAAACAAATAAATCTAGTTTTTTCTATTGAAACAGTAGAATGATTTTTTATTCAAAATATAGTTGAGAATATGTAGATATTTTCCTAACATATTTGAAAAATCCTCTATTTCTCTCAATATCTTTTTCATATTTTGCACTAATATTTCCTGTAGGTTTCTTAAGTAAAATAATATAAATGTTGTAAAAAATATAAGTTAAATGTTTCAAATTGTAACAGCGTTTACAGGTATGATATGTTCACTTCAATTTATAATAGAAATTTTTTTGCTTTACTAGGATTTGCTCAAAAAGAGGAAGAAAAATAAACCTTTTACATTATTTTTTTGTAGAGAAAAAAGAACATTTAAGAACTTCATTATTAAGGAGTTTTTTTTTTTTAAGTAAAGCTAAATATAGACAGTAAGCTTTTATGAAAACTTAAACGGAATTTGAAAACGGTTCTAATTAATTAATATTTTTTTCTTTTATTGACAAGATCATTTTCTTTTACAGGAATCAATTAGTCTTTCTCAAAAAACTCTTCAATGTGAATCTGGTTGGCTATCCTGTTCTGACTTATCTAATACTGCATTAAAGACTGAAAATGATAGTTTGAGGCATAAAATAGAAAGTCTTGGGACAGCCTTATCAGATGTAAAAGCTCGAGAGGAACTATTCAATGAGCGATTGGAGGAAAATTGTCTAAAAATAAGAACCTTAGAAGAAGCACTTGAAAAGAAACAAAATTTAGTAAGNGCACCATTTATTTTTTCAAGATAAATTTATAGTTGGTAGACATAGGTAATAATACACACTACATATAATGCACAAAAAATGTAATTTTAAAAATTAATTTAATATATGAATATAATTAGTATTAATATTCTTGTGTAAAATAAATGATTACTAAATTGCTTGCAAAACATACAAAGTATATAGTCAGTATAGAAGTCAGCTATATAGTATAGAAGTCAGGTATATTTTGCTTTGTGCTTATATCTGTGTGGATGGAGGTCGTTTTCCTGCCGATTTCTATTTTAGTTGTGTTTATCATCAATAAAGAAAAAGCAAAAAAGAAATTGCATAGCATTTTATGGGAAAACTACTGAAATACCTAGACTGATCGACAGGTGCCATGGTGCCCGCAGGCCTAGGGTTGGGATCCCCTGCTATAAGTTATTCATTTAAAATTTATATAATGAGAAAGTATTGAATAGTTGGTTCAAATTGAAATGTAAATTTTCTGAGCTATAATAAAGACAAATAAATCTAGTTTTTTCTATTGAAACAGTTGAACGATTTTTAATTCGAAATATAGTTGAGAATATGTAGGTATTTTCCTAACATATTTGAAAAGTCCTCTATTTCTCTCAATATCTTTTTTGTATTTTACACTAATATTTCCTGTAGGTTTTTTAAGTAAAATAATATATATAAAGGTTGTAAAAAATATAAGTTAAATGTTGCAAATTGTAACAGCGTTTACAGGTATGGTATGTTCACTCCAATTTATAATAGAAATTTTTTTGCTTTACTAGGATTTGCTCAAAAAAAAGAAGAAAAATAAACCTTTTACATTATTTTTTTGTAGAGAAAAAAGAACATTTAAGAACTTCATTATTAAAGAGTTTTTTTTTTTTTTTTAAGTGAAGCTAAATATAGACAGTAAGCTTTTATGAAAACTTAAACAGAATTTGAAAACGGTTCTAATTAATTGATATTTTTTTCTTCTATTGACAAGATCATTTTCTTTTACAGGATTCAATTAGTCTTTCTCAAAAAACCATTCAATATGAATCTGGTTGGTTTAGACCAGATTCATGTTCAAACATATCTAGTATAAGTGATTCAAATGTCGAGACCGTCACTGGAGTAAACACTGAAAATAATAGTTTGAGGCATAAGATAGAAAACCTTGGGACCGCTTTATCAGAGATAAAAATACAAGATCGAGAATTCAATGACAGAATCGAGGAAAATTGTCTAAAAATAAAACGCTTGGAAGAAGCGCTTGAAATGAAACAAAATTTAGTAAGTATTTATTAATCTGATTTTTCTAAAAAATATTATTTTGATTTGCACAGTATTTGAAAATTTTATAAAGAGATAGAAAATGTTTATTAAAATTATATTATAAAAATTATATAGGTTAAATGGTTATGAAATTTAAAAAACAATTATTATTGAATTTAATAAATTGATGTAAATTATAATATGCCCTGCCTAAAAAATTTCTTTAGTTCTAACTGTAGGCAAATAAGCAAAAACATACAGCTTTTCATAAAAAATATCTTGATTTATAGTCTTAAGTATGTAATCATAATAGTAGAAAGTTTTAAGAAGTTAATGATAGTTACTTCTAGACACATTTATTTTATGTTAGGAAAATTAGTAGATTTTTTTCCTTACATACTTAATTCTAAACAAAAAGAGAGAAAAAATATCCATAGTAGAGAGTTTCTTCAAAATTTTTCACTACTTTAAAAAAAAAAATTTTAATTTTATAATTTTTAAACATATTTTTCAGAAAAATTTAATTTTGCATTTTAGTGTGATTAAGTATACTTCCTTTATACCCTTTATACTGTGTTCCATGCCTTTGATCCCATTTGACTTGAACTTTAACTTGGTTGAGGCTGGATGGACACAGCAGTTTTTAGAAGTCGGGTAAATTTTTGTGCCACGTTCGAATGTTAGACATTTTAGGTGACCAGTTGAGAATCTGGCCAAGGTAGTCTGGAAGCTTTGATCGCAATTGATTCCCAGAAGGGTGCCAGGAGATGTTGCAGTGCGTAGGTGGAGTTGGGCAGATTGATTTTTGTCTATATTTTTAATTGGAGTAAAGTTAGAGAGTGATGACTGCCCTCTTTGGCCAATCTATCTGCTATCTCGTTGCCTCCAATATTAGCATGTGATGGAATGGGTGACAAAGTAAGCGTCTGCCATTCCTAAGTTTAGAATAGTGAGAGTGCACAGTTATTTCAGTTTTGCTTTGGTGGGGAAAGTAATAAAAAGAGTGTTTGTTAAGAATTGGAACAAGTGAAAATCATCACTGTATGTTTGCTATCACAGCATGTCCCTGACTAGTGTGCAAGAAAGGCAAAAGAGATAGTGTGGGAAGACTCAAAGCAATGCCTATGGGAGGGGACAAGTTCATCAAACCATTATGCCTGATGTAATTGCCTGGATTGATAGTTTGATCTGGGAAAATCCAAAGATAATCTTGTTCTGGTCCATATTGTCCATGGCTCTTAGCAAAGATCGTTTCCATTTTTTATCACCTGCTTTAATAAAGTGAATGTCGGATTAATTCCTGCAATATATTGTAAAGTTGGGTGAGGTTGTGGATCCTTTTGTTGTAGAACCTACAAGACCGAAATAAATAGTCTTATCCTGGTAGTGTAAATATATAATTATGCTTTTAGTAATAACCTTTGTATATAACAAATGCCATGATCACTTTGTAGTAGGTGTCAAGTTTTCATTTGACCACCCTTCATATATTTCTCTTAAATTAACAATTCATTTATAACAATTCACAATTGAAATTAACAATTCATGTATATATTATGCTTAAAAAAAATATACTTAACCTGCTGTTAAAATTTCTTATTAACTTTTGATCATAATTTTGAAGCACGTTGGAATTATTTATCAAATTGGAAATATTCAATATTTTAATTTCAAAGTCTATATTTGTTATTTATATAATTATGGGTTATATAAATGGGTTATATATAATTATTAAATAATTATGGGTTATATGTTATATAATTATGGGTTCTAAACACAGGACTTCCAAACTTCTGGTTTCTTTTTTCGCTAAAAGCAGGTTCCTTTTTAAAATAATATATATGTCTATTTTAAAGATAAAGATATCTAAAAACATAGAATGGAAATATTTTATCATTAGGGAAAAATGTGATTAGTAATTAATTAATTATTTACCCTCCAAGCATTGAGCGGCTGGACATGGAAAAATCTCTGCTTTGTACTACTCTTTCAATTTAATAACAATGAGAGAACCCGTTTTTGATGTAGGAAAGCTTGTGGCTAAAAGTTCAAAAAAGCCAGACTATCGTTAAGATGGTAGATAATTCCACGGAAAATTAAAAACTATTTTCTCTCATGTATTCAACTGGAAATTTTTTCCATTTACTCTTGAAATTAATCCAGAATAATCTTTTTTTAAGTTTTGCCTATATAAATATGAGGGTACGTACAGACTCCTTATACTCCTTGGAAATAAAAAAGTCTCCATTTTTTAATTTAGGTAATATTTTAAGCCCAAGATTTCACAATAGCAAAATTATTTTTGAGTATATGGGGGGAAAATATATAGAAATTTACCAGTCATAAATAATTTTTATTTGTAGTGACAATTTTTGAAAATATTTTCCTACTTTACCATATTTTTGTATTGATTTTTTAATATAATTTTTATTTTTTACAAATTATGTCTAAATTTTTACAAAATAGGTACCTCTCAAAAAAACTTAGACAGACCATTGAAGTTTCATGCAGCATTCACTCAGTTTTTCTTAAAAAATTTCACAAAATGTTGGGTAATATTTGAGGATTACTTTATAAGAAAAGAATATCATTTTTAATTTTAAGCCTCTTAATTGGAATAATAAAAGTTGCATCTCAGTAATAGTCTGATATAAAATTAAGAAAAGATTATAAATATCACAAATAAATACCTTAAAAAATAATGAATAAATTTGTAATTAATGGGAATATCTTTTGTTAATTTAATTCTGATGATAGGTGTCAGGAAAATGGTATAAGAATAAGACACCAGAATCATCAGAATTATTTCAGTTTGGCTCTAGTAGTAGAATAATTTATTTAAATGATATTATTAACTTTGTTGTGAATCAAAACACTTCTAAGAGATATCTATATATTTAGTAATTAAGGAACCATAACATGCGGTTTTTTGGCCAACAGGATTGTGCTAACAACATTGAAAAATTGTTTTGGGCGATTTTATTTATATATTACATTGAGAAGCAAAACATTTTTGTGGTTAATTGCACCTATAAATTTCCAAAATACAAGACATTTTGGTTCAAAAATTAAAAATTTTCTTAAGTATACTTGCTAATTTTATACTATAAAATTATTTCATGCAATAAATTTAAATGGTATTAAACTGAGTTTAATGAAATTTTTTTAAAAGAAAGTGAAATAATTTATGGTTTATTGAAATTAATACTTAATTTAACATGACACATAAATTTCATCGTTAACTGAAATCTCATATAAAATTCTAATTCAACTTTTTAGCATTAATTCTTTTAATGTACCCAAAATACGAATTCACATACATATCAATACTTTTAATATACTAATATTTAGCAAGATCGGCCCACAACTGAATATTTTAATGCATTTCAAGCAATAAAATGTAAAAACTTGTTTAATTAATAAGCATCACTGTCCCTCCTCCAAAAAAAAAAATTTATAATTTCCTTCTTATCACATTTTTTATAATCAGAAAAAAAAATCTAATACTTAATGTTCAGTTTCAAGGTAATCATAAAGATTTTTATACTGATTAGTTTAATAGATATCATTAAAATATATAAGAGCAGTTTTTCATGTTATAATAATGTATATTAATAATGTCTATAATAATAGTGTCTATAATAATGTATAAACTTGTAAATTATATCCTAGAAATGGCTTAAGAAAATTCAATAACTTTTTCAATTTACATAAATAATTTTATTTCATAAAAACTTATGACTTTTCATAAATTTAGTTACTTGATTTAATCATAATAAATCACTGCAATCTGCCAAGATATTTTATAAATGCAAAATTAATATCATAGCCAGGGATCTGTTTAGAAGAAATTTGGGTTCGATAACGGACCCTTCAGAAAATATCTTTTCATAAAAACGGACCCTTCACAAAATATTTTAACTTAAAAACGGACCCTTCACAAAATGATTTTTCTTTTAATCGGACCCTTCACAAATTTGTTTATCTTCATTATTATTTTATTAATCGAATAAACCCTTTCCAGGGCAGAAAACAAGAAAGATGGATGTAAACAAATTAAGTTTTGTCGTCGGCAGACGATTCTTCCATTATTCGTCCGAAATTAATATTCTGCGTTCAGCAGTATAGGCTAAATAATACCAAATATTTGTATGTTGCATCTCTAATTTAGAAGCAGCAATTGTTGTTTATTTTTTAAAATTTAATTTTTTTTATTATAATTTTACAGTGTTGAGCATAATCTTGTTTGTCTTTACAATTTAAAAACTCCTTGAAAATGTTTTTTTTATGCAATAACGGACTTTTCTTGGACTTTTTTTATGCAATAACGGACTTTTTTCACAATTTCACGAAAAACAGACCTTTTACAAAATGTCTGGACAGACCCCTGATAGCAAAAGCTAAGCACTAGTAACAAAATTGTGATTAATGAAATTATAATATTTAAAATCTCATATAAATTTAAAAATTTTGCCAGCCGCAGTTCCCAATGTGCAGTTCACTTTTCTATCCTAATTAAAAGCACATTAATATGGTCTCATGTATTTGTCTAATGTATTTCAATTAATATATCCAAGTTAAATTATCTTTTTGGAAGTTATTGTTTAAATGACAATAATTTTAAATTGTTTTGCTTTTAAAGTAAAGTCAAACACAGTAACCTCTGCCTTGAAAAAAAGTGAGTTTTTTTGGATGGGTATACCCAGAAAATCCTGGGCAGGTTCTTTTCTGAGCTAGGCCCACTTTTGCTTACCTTGATTTGAAGCTAACGAAACAATGTGCTAAGTTAGAGTGCAATTGTTTTACACAATTAATATATTATACAAAATCAGCCGTAACCCTATATTTTTATTTTGTTACAGTAATTATGGATTTTTTTTTCCTTATATAGAAATTGTAAGCAATTAAGAGAAAAGCAAAAAGTAATTTAAATATTATAGTTTTTTCAAACAGTTCAAGTTTTATTACTTATTAATTCATAAATCTGTGGGCTTTAAGACAACATAAATTAAACTTTAAAAGAAAAGAAAAGTAAAAATAATTTTGTAAATGGAAATATTCAGAAGTGCTTTTCTGTAATTGAAAAAAAAGAAGGTAAAAAGCTACTAGTTCAAGAAAAGAAAATAAGGAAATTAAAGATAATAAAAATTGGATAATTTTGATTTTACAATTGTTGATGAAAAATTTTTTGTGATAATTTTTACTACTCCCCCTTTGTAACATTTCTATATTAGATGCAACTTTGCGCTAAATGTGTTTATTGTAGGATCTTGCAAGTGATCCTGATGACAAGGATGATTTTATGACTGCAGAAGATCAAGAGCTTATTAGAATTGCTGCTGATAACAAAAGAAATACGTGAGTATATTTGTATCCAAAAGCAAATTCATCTTCTTATTAAAATTACAGTTAAAATTTTAGTAGGTTTATTAAATCTCCTAAAGCCACTCAATCGCTTTCCAAAACCTCTAGTTAGGGAAAGCAGAAAAAATTGTACATTTAAAAAAAAAACACTCCTTTCAAATTAAATATAGCATATCCTTACCCTATTAACTATATGACTAAAATATTGCCAAGCATTGCAGTTGAAAAAATAAGTCTTTTTAATATTCCATTCTTAGCGAAACTGCATGGAATATTTTAAAAATGAAAGAAAAGTTTTTTTTTTTGGAAGTCAATAATAAAAAAAGTAACAGTAACTTTATCTCTAAAAGCCCATTATCAACTTTCAAAAATGTTCACCTATAAGTATTCTAAATTTTTGTTTAATTAACATTTAGTAGCGTTATCTTTCACATCTACAATAGCTTTTAAAAGTCTGTAAATAAATGTAGCTTTTTTTCTGCACGAAAGCTCATTTTTAAACCTTATTGTTTTTAGTTAGTTTTTTGTTTTAATGTTATGCTATCATACTGTACTCAAATATGCTTTATTGGGTTTAAGTATGGCACTTGAGGTAATGTGCTAAAAGCTTGTGGTCAATTATGTAGACATCAGGTGCGAATGATGAGAGACGTTTGCTTATGACAGTAGTTTTGTATTAAAACAAAGTTGTTTCCAATACCCAAAGTTTAGGCTGATAGTTGTATCTTTAAATAAACAGGTTGATTCATTATGCCATGAGTAAGTTTTACTTATCATGATATGCAACAACCCCAGGCCAGAATTTTTTAGGGCTTTCTGCGACAAAACTCTCCAGCACTAATATCTTTCCTCAAGATACTTTTAATAATAACAAACATCTATGTTACTCATTTAAAATAACAAAAGCGCTGTGTTTACGAAAGATATATATATATATATATAATTGTTTTTAATTGAACATGTAATAATTTTTATTCTAAATTTATGGGTGATATTCTCGCATTTTGTTGGGGGGGGGGACGCACAAATTATTTCCTTTTTCGCATTTGTAAATAATTATCACAATAAAAAAAATAATCGAAAATTATGAATTCTGTAGTAGTAATTACTGAAAAAAAAGATAGACAATGAAATGTCGTAAATCAGACTCCTCAAACGCGTGTTTCGTTTCGAGACTAGGTTGTTGTAATAAATAATATCGTACAAAAAATATCAGGTTTAAAAACTAAGAAGAAATCAATCAATCTGCCGAAAATTTTATCGAATTATTGGCTTAAAAAGTAAATACTCAAATGCACGATTCGAATTTTCCATATTGTTTTAAATATATTGAGATATTTAAAAACCACTAAAAAACAATATCAATAAATGCCCAAAATACAATCTGAACATTACATTGATTTACGATACTATTGGAGTAAATTGTATGACTGGATGCATAACAATAATCTGCTTTTAATACTTTTTAGACCATCGTTATCTTATTTTAAATTTATCTTATCTTATTATTTATCTTATCATCGTTATCTTATTTGTAGTGGCTGCAGCTCAAGTGGACACCACGACTGCGTCAGGGATGCCGACACTTTGGGAAAATGGCTTCCACCTGTGGGTAACATTTTTCTTCTTTTTTTTTCTCTCTGCTTTAAAAACCCATCTCTTTATGAATTTTTAATAAAATGACTTTATCTCAGTTCAAACAAAATCATCTTTATTAACATGTTTTTTTTTATATATCCAGCGGTCTGTCCAGACATTTCGTGAAAGATCCTGTTTTTGTAAAATTGAGAAAAAAAAAACTATTCATAATTTGTGAATATAAAAAGAGCTTTTAATGTGCTACGCATTAAGTGAACTTAAACAATCTTTAAATTTATAATATTTTATTTAAAAAATTGCCAGAAATTAATTTTTTTTTACATAACATTCTATTAATTAATTTTTATAAATAGATCAATTATTTATTTGCAAGAAGAAAAAAAATTATGATTTAATATTAGAATACTACATTTGGAATTTAAACAGGGTTCATACAGAGATCAGAAGAAGAAATCCAAGGAGTCCAAAATTTAACAACTTTGCGCAAAAGATAACCAGACAGATTTTTTTTTTTAAATCAAAAAGCAGTTACTACTAGAATTTATACTTGGCATATGTTTCATTTGTAAATATTTTTTCTGGGAGAATAATAAATGTGATTAGTGATAGAAGTAAACTTATACATAATTGCTCATTTAAATTATGCTACATATAATTTATTTAGAATTTCGTGTTTTTGAAATATAAATGGTTTAAATTTATGAAGACATTAATTTTTTTGAAATGCGTCATGAATGATTTTACTCAAAAAATGTTCAGGATATTTGAGTTGGGCACGCAATCACCCCTGCTCACCCAACTGATTCAAAATTACTGTTTCACTAAGAGAAAGCCTGAATGAAATATGTTACTTATTTGGGGATTTGATGCTTCATAATTTTAACATTTTTTCAGGGTGCATAGTGTTTTTAAAAAGTACTTAAAGGTGCTTATTTTTGATTTTAGTTTCTTAAAAGCCCTTAAAAGTGCTTTTTTCATTGGGTGTTTTTAAAAAGTGCTTAATTTTCCCTTTTCAAAAATGATACTCTTTTCTTTACCATTATTCATACTTTTTCTTTACCACCTATTATACAAAACCATGCTTTCTACATTGTTCTATTCAATGTTTTCACAATTTATTCAACCACAATACATTTCGGCATACTAACGGTTCATAGCACATGAAAGCGTCAATCATTCAGAGATGATAGTGCTCCGGAAAAAATCCGGATTTTTCGGTAAACGCGATCCGGAAGTTTCCGTAAATCTGACGTCCAAAAGTTTAAGGAAATTATTGATCACATTTATATATTAAAAAAAAATTTATGTTTTATTTTGAAATATTAGAACTCAAATTTATACTTGGCATCTCTTTTATTTGTAAATATTTTTTCTAGTAGAATAATAAATGTGATTAGAGATGAAAATAAACTTATGCATAAGCATTAATTTAAATTATGCTGCATATAATTTATTTAGAATTTCATGTTTTGAAAATATCAATGACTTAAATTTACAAAGACGTTAATTTTTTGCAGTAGGTAATTAATGATTTTATTGGAGAAATTTTCAGGCTTTTTGAGTTGGGCTCACAATCATTTTACATGTTTGATGAAATTCTTGTGAAATACTGAGGTGGATTTGGTGAGATTCTTTTAGTTTCTTGTGCAACTCTGCTATTCTTTACAAGATATTCTCAATTTCAGGCTTCATTTTCGACCCTCTGATATCGAACCGAAAAATCTCACGATCTTTTTATGGTGGATAATATAATCAAGAAACGAGTTGTTGTTTTTTTGTCGGAAACTTGTTATTTTAGCATGATCATGTAAAATCTTGGAAAATTATTTTGCATTTTGTTGATGTATATATATGGTGTTTAAAAATATTTTTTAAGTGCTTAAAAAGTACTTAAGAGGTGCTTATTTTTGTTTAAAGATTTGGCTACGCACTCTGTTTTTATATAGATAATAAATGAGCCGACAGATGTACTATAATGAGTTGTTCTCTTTAAAGGATGAAGATTCATCATCTGGAAGGGAAAGTAATGATGTGCATCAAGATCCTGTTTCACTCATAAAATCTATATTAAAAGAGAACCCTGACCACTGTCTTCCTATTGAATTTCTATGCGCAGTAAGTTATTCTATTATTTTTACTCAGATGCTCTTTCTCAGCAATTATAGCTAGGCCAATACAGCTTATACAAGTGATAGTTCCTCTTAATATAATGTGTATAATATGTACAGGGAAAATGCAAAGAATTTTTTTTGAGTGGCAACCTGCTCAAAATATATTTATTTGGTCTTTGTACAACAGATTTATCTTGCTGACAAAATTCAGACACCTCATAGGGAACCTGGAAAAATAAAGGGATTTATGTGGCATCAGCTAGGTTTACTATAACTTTGTATTAACTGCTTATGTTAATTTTGGTATCTCGCCAGGTTATCATTAAATGCATTGGTTGTGATGTTAGATCAGGGGTTTCCAACTGGCGGCCCGGGGGCCGCATCTGGCCCACGAAGCCTTTTTTGCGGCCCGCGAACTAAAATATACTAGTTATCGTTTTTTGTGGACAATTTTCGTAAAAAATATACATGGGTTTAAAATACTTTTCTCGTTAATAAAAACCTAATTTCTTCGTTTCTGTGAAATTTAACATATCAACGGTGCAAAAAAAAAAATTTCTCAGGTTTTGCACCCAAGAAAATATTTATTCAAATTCAAAAATAATCGTGTATTTTGCTCTTTTTTATTTCATATTTTTGTATTTTGTGAATATAATTTAGCATGTGCGCATCAGAAATTTTCCGATTTAACTTTTAGAAACCACTCATTTTGGACGAAAATATTTATACACATTTGTAAATTTTAAATGTAAATATCTATTCTCTGGTGGTTGCAGCAGACAAACCTCAATTTTCTCATTGAGGATTTTGTGTGCTACTATGTAAGTTTTAATACCAACCTTTTTAAAGTTTTATATCTTAACAATTAGATATCTGTTGCACATTAATTTTTTAATACATAGGTGCACATTAAAATTAATGTAGCCCAAATTTTTATTATTTATTTAATATTTTTAGAAATATTATTAATAACAATTAAATATTTTTAAAAATCTGCTTCTTATTTTAATTTGCAATTCAAAACTTTTGTTTTGTACAACTTGATAAAAATCTGACAGTTATATTTAATTTTCCTTCAAACATAAAGGAGTCCTACATAAAATTTTGATAAAGTTGTTTCCCTCCATTTGATTTGTGTTTTTAATTGTGGACCCCGGCCTCGTGTAAGTTGGAAACCCCTGTGTTAGATCATGCTCATCTATTTAATTAGTATTTAAACGATACATAATCACACAGTTTAAACTCGAAGAATAGTCTGGGGAAAATGAAAGAAAAAATGTAAAAAATATGGAAAAGCTAACATATTTTGGATTTTTCTTATTTTATATTAAGGATTTTTTTTTAAAAAATACTTTTTTATCCCTTCCTATGAAATTATTTTTCCAATACACATGCGCTGTGTGGTGTTTTCTGTTGATATAGCAGTTTTAGATTTTAAAAGAAAAATCTATTATTTAAACTTAGTAAAAAAATCTATGTATTGTAATGTAGGAATGATAATGTTTTTATCGATTAATATGTTTTCTTAATTGTTCTTTTACATTTTTGCTTAGAATTGTTGATAATCAAAGTAATCTTAAGCATTCTACTTCCGTACCCCAAGACAGAATTTTTTTGGGCTCTCTGCTACACACCTCTAATAGTAATATCTTTCTGCAAGATATTTAACAATAACAAATATATAAACTTCAAAAAAAAACTATAACTTCAATAAAAATTGGATCATATAAAATAATTTTTTTTTAATTAAATGTGTGATTTTTTTTATTCTAATATTATGGGCAATATTCTTGCATTTTGTAGAAATACAACACACTAATTATTTTCCTTTTTAGATAATACACTAATTATTTCCATTTTTGCATTTTATAATTCATCATCACATCAAAAAAATAAATAAATAAATCGTAAAATCTGTAGTAGTAACTGCCGAAAAAAAGATAGACAAAATAAAAAAAATTTCCCCACTCCAATGCATGAGAAAGTCATCTTTTGAATAAAATTCTGAAGAAGAGATAAAATCTTTCGAAAATTTCTGCATAAAAGAAAAGTAAAATTTTTTATTTCCCAAAGGGAAAATCCTTCTGCAAGAACTCAGACAGTTCTGAGACAATGTCCCGGGGCTTAGGTATAGTGATGTGAATCAGATCTGTTATTTAACTCTGATTTTTATTTTTTCAGGAAATAACTAAACAGTCTGGAGTGAGTTGGAACAAAAAGTTTAAAAGAACGTATGGTATGTTACGCAAGGTTAGTCATGTTACTGTTTTGATTTTATCAAGATTAATTCCTTTTGTATCAGAATGTTATGTATATAATTTTTAGCTATTTTCAATTCTCTCTTATTTGATTTGAATTATTCTTGCTCTTTAGAAGGTCCAAAATGTGTGGAAATGTTCAAGTATTTCAAGAAATGCACATAAAATCAGAAAACATATGTTTGAAAAACCTTCCGGGTGTGCATTCAAAGTTATCAAACTGGACCCTCCAAGTTAATTTTAAATCCCCAAAATCTTAATTTTTCATTCCAGATTTAAGTTTGACTTGTAAGTAGTTGTCTTTTTGTTCTGTTCAGGAAAGGGACTGAAAAATGAGGGTAGCATACAAATTGTTTAAATTTGAAATATTGGGGAAAAAATGGGCTAGGCTGAATAAACAAAAATAATTTTGTTTAATATTTTGAAAAACTCATCTTATGACTCCAAGTTTGACCCCTTTCCTTGACCCTAGGCTCCCAGGATATGTGGCCTAATCATACTTCACAAGAGATCAAAGAAACATGTGGGGAAACTTAATTTTTGGGTGTAAAATTGGAATTTTGGCCAAAAGCTTACTCCAATTCTGGAAAATAACTCATTTCACCATTGACGATAACAATGAGATGCAAAGTAAATAAGCCTAAAATCTATTTATTTATATTACAGTACAGAACCATTTATCTGGTAACCAGAAAAATGTTGCTTGGTATTTTAATATGTGAAACTACGCCGGAATTCGCTAATATTGCAATTCATATTCACATGATTTTAATATCGAACATCGATTTCTATATTTACCTGATTTAAAAATCTTGCATCTCATTTCATATTCATGGGATTTAAAAATCCAACATCTAAATTTTTATTTACACGTTTTTGAAATCAATATCACGATTCATATTCTCTTGGATTTGAAATCCAATGTCTCTAGTTGTATTAACATAATCTAAAAATCATGTATTGCTATTTTGTCTTTCCGTTTTTCAAGATATGTTCTACCAGATATGTAAAGGTGATAGTTCACTTATATTAAATTTCATAAGTTTATTGTAACATTAATTCTTCTATGTTTAGTTGTTCCTTATTTCCAGCAACTAAAACTAGCCATCGTTATCCTAGTATATGTGAATGTGTCACAATATGTTGAGGGAAAACACAGGGATTTTTTTTTTTTACAGATAAAAGTGGCAACCCTGCAACGGCACATAGCCATATTATGCACATATGGGCATTCAGTTCTGATTTCAGTCCTAAAAAAAATGAAATAAGTAACAACATTTCATTTGAATGTTTACAAAGTTATCCTCCTCCTTACCGATGAAACATTTTCTTGTATTTTTAAAAATCCTTCCATAAACGATGCATCCAAAACTATACAATTATTGTTATGCATCCATAATTTCTCCATATTACCCTTCCTGATGTTCATTCTACAATCTATTGGCAAAAGCAATCTACTATAGATGTGTATTTTAAATCAAAATCTACTGTTCAAAATAAAAAGGAAAGGGTTTATTTCACCTTTTAGTTTTTAACATTAATTTTAAATATCTGTATTTGTCTAACACTCACTATAACTCTGTCTGCTCTTTTGAATTGTTATAACAAACTTTTACTGCGTATATATTTTTTGGAATTTGTTTTGGATTCCCCTCCCGCAGTGGACTGATTGTGGAGATCCCGGTAAAACACCGAAGTCGAGCACGACTGGCTGTGGTCAGTAAGCGAGTGGGTGACCACGTTGATGAGTCTGCGTATGAACCGAGGGGGTGCAGTATCGGTCCTCGTTAAACTGTTCTGACGCAAAGTGCTAGATTTCGCGCGTATGTCGCCAGCTCACCAAAGCAGGGGAACCATCCCCTCTGCAGAGGATCTAAGTTGAGACGGCATGCAGAGACGATCGTGCTCCAAAAGTTTCGAGAAATCATTTATCACATTTTTGTTTAAAAATTCTTGTATATTTTATTTAGAAATATTAGAACTAGAATTTATACTTGATATATTTTTCATTTGTAAATATTTATTTATTTTTTTGATAGAATAATAAATGTGATTGGAGATAGAAGTAATCTTATACATAATTATTTATTTAAATTATGCTGCATATAATTTATTTAGAATTTCATGTTGTGAAAATATCAATGATTTAAATTTATAATGACATTAATTTTTTGAAATGCGTCATTCATGATTTCTCAGGATTTTTTAGTTGGGCTCACAATTACCACTGTGGCATGTCTTTGGATCATCCACTTGGAGATGTTTATTATTGTGCTGCTCTAGTACGATGTAAATAGAGTACCTAGCCTAGTCTTTTTCATCTTATTTGTTATCTCACTGAATACTTGTTTTTTTCCCCCTTCTAGTTTGTTCAGAAGCACAGCGAAGTGTTTCGCTTCGATACAGTATCCAGTGTAGTATTTCTATTAGATGATGCTGTGCATAGTAACAGCTGCTAATAAACGGCAGGTTAGCTTAGAATGCTTGCTGTAAGTATTGGTTTCTCTTACATTTAAAGTGTTTGCAACAAGCTTTATGGCTGTTATCATATAATTAATTTCATAAATAAACAATTTTCCATTTGAATTAATGAGTAGAGCCCTATTTCAATAAAATTCATAAGTTTACGAACATTTTTGGAAGCCACTGTAAATATAAAAATTTATTGATTTATAATCTCTTATAATTATTTTTCTCTTTTGTTTAATGAAAATATATTAAACAATACTTATCCAAGGTATTTTTGATCACTCTATAGTTTCTATTTGGTACTCTTCACGCAAAAACTGCAAAGTAACATATTAAATCATGTTTTATTCAATAAAAACAATGTATTCTGTAAGCTAAACATATTAATTTCACCACATTTGTCTTAATTTTTCAAAACTTAATGTTGTACCGAAACATTAAAAAACAAAATCTTGCTGTGTTGTTAAAATAAGATTAAAACTAATGTAAGTTGAAATTCTTTGTACACAAATGTTGAATTTTATTTTGTGTTTCGTTTCTAGATATTTTCAGCACAGTATGAATTTTGTTGCATTTTAAAGACATTTAAATTAAAACTTAATGCCCTTCAAATTAAAAATAAATTATTTTTTTAAATTTTTTGAATGAAATTTAACGTCACTTTGAATTTGCTCAAATTTAAAAGTAACGTGTGTGCATGAGTAATATATATTTGTTGAATTTCAGACCCCAAGAAGAAAAAAGTCCGTCTAGAAGTAATGAATACATGCTGGGTGGCAATGATACAGAATTGCCGAGGCACGCGAAAAAGTCTGAAGTTGGCATAACTATACACGTTGATGATTTTACATGATTTCTCTCACTTAGTTAGTTACCTAAAAAGATCTGCTTCAAACAAACTGTTCCATTAATATAACAAATTGTTGCAATTTTTCATTTTTAAAAATTTTATTTTTTTAAAATTTAGTGTATTTTGATAAAGAATAGCTGTTATTTTTACAATTTTCTTTCTCAACTGAAAATTGCAGAATTGAATCATTTGAACTAAATATGTATTGAAATGGTCATTTGTCTAAATAAGCAAAGGTCATTTTATGTAAATTGAATGCTTCCTAGTTTGTTGAATCATTTTTTTAAAATTTCCTCGTGAATTTTGAAATGCCTGTAAATTGTTATTTATTCGATCACATAACTGGTGCTAATATTTATTATGTAATATATGATTATTAGTTAAAAAATTTTAAATATTTATGTGTTTGAGTGATAAAATGTTTCCTTTTTAAGTATTGATTAAAATGTTGGTGCAAATTAATCATTGTATGTTCTTTTTCTTGACAAGGTTTAAATGTATGTGTGTAAAGAGTTATCCAGAATGAGCTCCATTCACTCTAATTACCTAAGCCAAAAATTAACTTTTATAATCCTGGGTGAATTGACCAGCTTCTTATGTTGTTTATTTTTAGCATTCTTCCTTGTATCCTCCATTTTATTTTCATGTTTTGTTTAAGGGTTTTTTTTCTTCCCCAAAAATCTTTCTGCAAATATATTTTGAATTGAGTGGGGAATTAATGTAAGTTGATTCAGGGTTCCCACAGTTCAGGGAAAACCTGGAATTGTTTGATAATTTTGTTCCAAAGATCAGAGAAAATTGCAATTTTTTTTACAAAAAGTAACCAGTCTTAAAATTGTCTGTAACAGTAGTCAGGTATTGAGATTCGAGTTAAATAATGCTTACATCTATTACAATTATTTGTTGTAAAAATTTTCACATTTTGAGTCCAACTGAAATGTTCCCATCCTCATTTAATAATTTTTTTTTACACAGAAAATCTATTATTTCACATAACAAATAAAAGAATCAAAGTTTTCTGAAGAAAATGTGGTCTCAATTTTCATTGAAATTTATTTGGTATACCTGGAAAAGTTAAGGTTTTTTTTATTTTATTTATTATTTTTTTTTTTGCAAATTGAGTGAGAACTGATGATTTTAATTCGTTAATTACATTAAATTTTCACTCATTCTAAACTTAATTAAGAATCTGAAAGGAATAAAAAATAAGAGAGGACAACTTTTTTATTTATTTCAATGTACTCCGGAAACAAGTAAAACTTACTCATTCTCAGGGAAATTTCTCTGAATTTTTTTTTCAATATCAACGCATTATTGTTATTCATTTTACTGAATATGACTGCATTACTTCTATAGATAGAACCCATTGTATCTATTAAAACATTGGGACAACCAACATTTTTCAAAATCGATTCTTACCAGCTATAATAGAAATCATAGTATTGTAGGTAAAATTATGTAAATGTTAAAATCATGTTTAAGTTTGTAACTATGGAAACAAAATTTAAGGTATACATTTTTAATACATATTGTTGTCAAATTTTTAATTTACTATTGAAATTATGTTAATCATAACAATTTGTGGAACTTTTCTAATTTTAGTCTGAAAATCCAGAGAGATTTAGTTTTGCCTGGAGAGTGTTTGTTCTGTTTTCAAAAGATTACTTTAACATTTTTAATGCTTTTAAAATGTTTACACTTTTTTTATACGTATGACTGTGCTTCTAGCTAATTCTTCTAGAATTCTATCAAAAAACTGTTGTAGGAAAGGTTATAATTCAGGGTTGCCACAGGTGACTAAAATGCAACTATTTTCAACCTAAGGCGACTATGGCAACTTTTTTTTGCCTGAAAAGGCTATAAAAAAAAAAAAAAAAAAAGGTTTTAGCTATGTTGTTTAACATAAATTGGGTTGACAACCTGCGGTCAATGGGAGCTTCTGAACTTATTAAATTTTTTCTTCTTCTTAAAATGTAAAATATGTTGAAAATTTTGAATTGCAATATTGTGTCATAACTTTTTAAGGCACTCAAGTTGCTTGGAATCTATTGCAAGTCCATTTTGTTTCTCGATCACCTTTTCAAAGGTAATTGCTACTAAACTCTGCAAAATTTTGATAAACCCAATTTATATACGATATTGCGATGCATGAATTTCAATTTTAAGTAATCACTTCTCATTATATATGAAGGAGTTTGTGGAGCATAAGAGGAAATAATGACTTAACATTTAATAGAAAAAAAAAGGAAATAAGTGTATCAGTGATATGATCGGTGAGAGCTGCCTTCTCGCAGGGTCGCCGAATCGAAAGTGAAATTAGATTGTTCTATGGAAAAAAAGAGTTAATTATAAATTCGGGACTCGCTGGCACCGTTCAATGAGGAAGTAGTTGAGATGATGAATTTCTTTTCAGTATTACATGATGACGGGTGATGCAATCTGCTCAAATATTACACTATGACACTTAAACTAAACATATATATATATATACATTGCAACCTCGAAAATCTGAACTGCTGGGGGGGGATTTAAAAAAAGGTCTGGATTTCTGAAATTTCCGGATTTTATATACCTTACTTAAAGTGATAGAATTATCGAAGTTTCGAATTCGCCAGGCCGAAATCGCGATTAAACGCTCATGTGTAGACCTCCAACGTCAATTTTAACAACTTAACATAAATATAACTTTAAATGATAAATAAGAGACATTCAAAATTAAACTTTTGTCATTTACTCCCGTAATCGATCGTTTTTATAACATAATATTAGCAATTAAAACTAAAAATATAGGCTTAAAACGCTAGCTGAATTTAAACTTATAACTGAAACAGATGCTTCTAGACTAGACTGTACCAGCTGATACTAATCCTATTTTTGTTGGGGGATAAAAAGAACTTATCCCTCCTCCTATGCTTTAAGGTTAAGAAAGAACCAGTTTTCTTTCTTCACAAGAGGGAAAAACAAGGTGGTAGAAGAATTCCTCCTCCTGCATGCCTTATCTATCAAGGAATATAGAAGGGATTCCCCTCTATATTCTTTGTTTTCTATACAGAGCTGATAAGAATGACTGGAATACAAGAGGAGTTTTGGAGGAAAAATCATCCATGTTAAGTGCCTGAAATGCTCCGGAGAATTACTAGCAGTTAGGTAGTCGATAAGTAACCACCATACCCTCCAACTTATGAGGATTTTGAAAATAATTCTTTCTACTGGTAGCGAACCAAAGTAGAAATTTTTAAAGCAAATGGATCTCTCATAAAACGTTTATCAGAACTTAAGAATCTAGCCCTATGGCCTGCACTTTTATGAGTAATAGTGGACAAGTTACGCTAAAATTAATTTTTTTTAAATATTAAGACATTAATTTTGCTACCGTCTGAAAAGAAGATTTCTGAAACTACGGAAATTCCGTAGCAGTTGGAGGGTATGGCACGCGTGAAGGGGGGTAAAGAGAAGAGGAGAAAGCGAATGATGCTCACAAGCCCCGCCATTACAACGACTGAACTGATTAGCATTGCTAGAATTGTTTTTATCGTAGTTTATTATTTTAATTTCTACTTTTCCTAAAAATTAAACGTTTCATGTAGTTGCTTTTTTTTTAATAAGTAAGTATATATATTTTTAATTATTATATGTTATTATTTTCTCATTACTATCCACATACTTTGGTTTAATATGTAAACCCTAATTATTTTTTTTATAATGCTAATTATTTGTTAAATATATACTTAACGGCGATTTTCAGTTTATATTAAGAATCTTGATGTTTATTTAATAGTGCTGTGGAGTTTACTATTCTAAGGGAAACATTTAATTTCAATAGATGTTAATAAAATTATCCACTTCAAAATTGAAACCCGAAAATATTAATTTTTAATTTTTTTTTCTACATTCAAGGAATTAAATACTGGATAGTATAATAAGTGAATGTATTTTTAAATTATTAATAATACAAGCTATTTTCTAAAGTTCATTTAAACAATATTATATTAGGTGCTTGTCCAATTTGACAAAGCAAGTAGATGTAGTTATTTCATTTTTTCTAATGAAAAGATTTTTTTTTTAAAAAAAGGATGGATTATCTTTTTTTTTGTAAGCTTTATCCCCTGTATGGGCCAAGTTAATAGGTGCCTTAATTTTGTGTTTTTTAAGATTTTGTTTTAATATTGTACATATTGGATGTTTTATTTTCAGTTAGCCTATCAAATAAGATATTTGTGTCATACTGCCTCCTGTTTCTCAAAGTAATTTGAAAGATTTAGGCTAAATATATTAATATGTAGTGTGGTTTGTGTTGCAAAATTCAATCACAATATATATTAAATGGATTTTGGCTGTCATGTTCTACTCTCACTGTTCTTCTGAAAGGTTATATGAGTCTTCTATTCTTCCTTGAAGATGTTGGATATTTGTATTTAGCTTTCTCGGATCAAATTCTTCTCAGTAAGTTCGTACTGTCCTTTAAACTACCCTTTTTTTTTCCTTCAATGAAATGTAATTTAAATTACTTTGTAATAATTTTATTGAGTAATGTAATAGCACTTAAGTATTCCATGTTTAGTTTAGTTAGTAATTCTCAACTTTTTATAACCAAAAATTTCATTTGAGTATTCATATTTACTTTTTGTGTACTTCTCTGTTAGCAGGTCCCAAGTAGTAATCTGATGAGCACAAATTAAAATTTCCAAAAAAACAATTGTTGAATTTTCTGATTGAGATAAGGAAAAAGTAAGTACAAGTTTTAGAGAATGCACTTTCCTGAAAGAATCCTTTTTCAAAAATCATAAGTGATTAGGGAAGTTAAATTATTTTAATTTTATGCAATAAACAAAAATCATAAATTTTTTTTTATATTAACAATTAAATAGTGTATATTATATTTATTCTCAATGTGATTCATAGTAGTTCTATTAAGGTTGGCACGATTAAAAATTGTGTTTTTTTTTTTTAATTTTCTTAAAAACAGCATGAAATTTTTTCAAAAGAAGTAAGTGACAATGAAGGCTTTTCACAAATAAATAATGAAAATGGGATGTATGTAAATAATAAATCGAGATAGACTAAGAGTTAAGGAGTTTAAAATTTTCCATTTGCTGTATGTGAAATATGTCTACATTGAAGTTTTCAAAATACTGCATATATTTTTTGTTACTTTTGCTTTTAAAATTTATGTAAAATAGGTAGAAAAACTTTCTCAGTCTAAGTAACTTAATTTTTTTTAACAATTTTTTGAGAATTTAGTTGATAAAAGTTGTGAATTTAACTATTTTGGTGGTATTGTTTTTAAATACTATTAAATAAATTATAACACATTTGATCAGATGACTTCAAATGCAAGTGTAAAAGTGTTTTGGAAGAATAAAAAAAAATTCTTCCTAACCCTGCTTTTTCTTTTCATTAATTTCCTTTTTCGATATAAAACACTGTATATAGTTTCAGGCCTCTTCATTGTCTTATATCTTGTTTTGCCCAGTGTTCATATCCCCAAACTTTGTAGTTCCAACATGCAATCAGTTTCCATTTCCTGTTGATTTTAATATTCTGATTAATAAATAAAACATTGTTTGTATTAACACTAAATACAATTGTACTTATAAAAACCAAAATATATTTAGTATATCCTATGCATTAAAGGTATTGATAAATATTTTTCTTAGTGTATTATTTGCGATTAGTTTCTATGTGTGACTAATAATGATACCAAAAACGTGTGTTTGCAGTAAGTTGAATTTTGTTTGATAAGTTATATGAATTGTGCAGGTAAGTCTAAGTTTATTTTTTCTATTTACTAGTCGGGGGGGGGGGCTCTGTTTAGAAGTAATTTGGAATCTATGAATATGGAAAAATTCATACTTTATTGTAAGTAACAAGAAATAAACTGTACAAGATTACCTTACAAAACCTTGGCTATAGAAAGAACGTGAAAAAAATTAATAAATAATTTCGCTAGTCAATATTTAAAATTAATTACGATTTATCTGATTAAAATAAGTATTAAATTCCAAAAAAACTATGTATTGACCATGGATCCTAAAGCAGTAGGATATCCAGCTCCCGCTTAGAAAACGGAAGCAGATCTTTTTCACCCTCCCAAACAAGCTGTATACCTAGTTGCAGAACTCCACCTAACGGCTAGAGTAAAAGCTCTGGCAAAAACAAGTTCTGGGTGAGGGGGGGGGAGGAGAGTATCCCTTTCTCTCCTCATCAGGCAGCAAATGCCATATGAGATGACTAAAAATCCATTGATTGCGTTAATTGGGAACTAAAATAGATAAAGCCCCCATCTTTTAAGTAACGACATTAGTATTCATTTGTGCATGATTGTTTGAAATTTAGTTTATGTTTCATCCTTTTTTATTTAAGCTTGCTAAAAATTTTAATTTATAATTGGATAGACTAAAGTAACAGATTAATTGAATAATTTTGTGATTTATGAAAGTGCATTTAGATAAAATAATTTTAAGTAGTGTAAAAACGTGTAAAAAAATAGTTCGTTTCATTTAAATAATAATGAAAGAATCTGTTGATTTTCGTTTTTACGTAATTGATTCTCTTGATTTTTCAGTGATTTCAAAGAATTTACATAAGATGAAGCAGGCAAACATATTTTTTTGATGATTATTTTATTGAAATTTTTTGAAACGAACCTATTATGCGCCAATTTCAATTTTATTATTTCAGATCAGTCAAAATTATTGTTAAATATTGCTTGGTTTTTATTCTTTGTTTTATAGAGATGTTATAGAATTTTCTCAGGGCTAAATATACATCATGCAAAAGCAAACATTTATTAATTTAGTTTTTCACTAAAAGAGAAGTTATTTTTCAGGCATTATTTCCTTCTTATACATTTTTTTAAACAAATTCACAAAGTTAAATGCTATTTTACTAGTTCAAAAATTAATCAAACATAAAATAAAAATTAATTATAAATTCAATTGGAGAGCTATTGATTTTAATTAATTGAATATTAAACTTTGAAAGAGCTGTATTAAAAATGTTTTTCTCTTAATACTTTTAAAATAAAAATTATGCTTTTATTGCCCTTTGATACAATTTTTTAGTAAACTCTGCCTCTGTTCAAATAGTGAAATTTAGAAACTTTAACAACTTTTAATAAACTATATTGTCAAAAAAATAATAAATTTCTGTATAAAAAAAGGCAGGCATAAAAACATGAATGAAACATTATTTTGAAACAGTTTTAATAAATATAAAAAAAATCTTAAGCTTTAAGTTCGGCCTAATATTACAACTACATATTAATAGAAAGAAGAAAAAGAAGTCATACCGTGGCAATTAACAGCGGAAGAACACTCTTGCTTCTGCTTCATTAACTCTTGGCCAAATATCACTGACCTCAAAGAGCTGCATATTTTTATTAACAACAGCTACAATGGAGTCAATTATTTAGCAATACATGTTTGGATGACTCAAAGGATACTTCAAACACTACTCATAAGGAAAAAAAAATGCTCTAGGATCCAAAACATTTAAAGTAATTTTAAAAAAACTTAATTATGTATTTTAAACTAAAAGCCATATCACATGTGCAGAAATTCACCCAACACAACAGCAAGATAAACTTTTCATCCAACATTCAGTCGGAAAAAGTTGTTCTAGGGTTTCCAAAGTTCATGAAAATGTCGATCGTAAACGCGCCGATACCTTCCTTCTATCCCGGCAATTTAGCTCCTATACAGTCGATCTATGATTCTTCATAGGTGAAAATCAGTATTTTTTACCTGGCGATTGTTGTCTGTGTATTATTTTACAATGGATCTCGCATATTTATCAATTCCAGCCTTAGTAATTTATGGATCGATAAATTATTTAAACTCTTAAAATTCATCGCCTGTTTATATTCCTTCAGATTGGCGAATTTGGCGTAGAAAATCTGTCGCCGTTTTGAAAAATAAGCTATGCAATAACAATATTACTCAAAAGTATTTTAATAAGTTCTTTAGAATTGAATCATATTTTGTGCAAAAAAACATTAAACATAAAGTATTGACACTCACCTGAAATAACAAATATCTGAGATCAACACCGAACACTATCACAAGTTAGCCATCTTGTTTTCTCTTGAAACAAATGTTGTGGACTGCCAGTGTTGCCAGAACTTAAGATTAAAAAATAGCAGAAAACACTAAAATTATAATTGGCGATCGAAATGGGCTGCAGGTGGCGTAGAGCAGAACTCTTTTCCTATGGCAACACTTCACATGCTTTCCCCATTAGCGTGTGGAAAGTCATAGAGGAAGGAAGTACGTTAGTTTCTCTCTTGATTTTCATATAGA